TTGAGGGATAAGATAATTCAATAAAACAAAATATAGCAATTCTTGTTCATTCGGGTCTGTAGCCTACACTTGCCTTTGGCTAAAGGCTGAGGAATAATCTTTGAGTCCGCAAGGAACACAGCACAAAGGTCAGTTTAAATCAGAGAAGCAATCACAAGAAACTAGAGATGGGATGGACTGGGGAATAGATTTGTAACTGGTGCCAGCACTGCTTTGGGTCCTGGTTCTTGTCAAAGATTGTGATATGACTAAATTAATTGCCACTCTAACTCTACTTATTATCTTTCTCTTCCTAACTTTTTTTTGATAACTGGTCAGCAACCATTTTGTGTTTTGTTGTTGTTGTTCTCGTTGTGTAGGTACTGGGAACTGAACTCTGCATGGACGCTGCTGTCCCTTAGCTTTGTTGCTTAAGGCTAGTGCTTCAGCAGTGAAGCCATGCCTCCACTTCTAACTATTTGGTGGTCAGTGAGAGCTAAGAGTTTCCTGCTTGGGCTGGCTTCAAACCATGATTCTCAGATCTCAGCCTCTTCAGTAGCTAAGATTGCAGGCATGAGCCACCACAGCCTGGCAAAATCATTTTTCTTTTTTTTTTGTCGGTCGTGGGAGTTGAACTCTGGGCCTGGGCGTTGTCCCTCAGCTCTTCAGCTCAAGGTGAGTGCTCTACCACTTGAGCTACAGCGCCACTTCTGGTTTTCTGGTGGTTTATTGGAGATAGGAGTCTCACGGTCTCTCCTGTTCGGGCTGGCTTTGAACCTCGATCCTCAGATCTCAGCCTCCTGAGTAGCTAGGATTACAGGCGTGAGCCACCAGCGCCCGGCTGCAAAATCATTTTTCTCACTTTGCTTACTTTTACTTACAGAAGTAAACTAGGTTTGCTTAAGGTTTTTTGAAAGCTCTCTCTACATCCTAGTCTTATGGAAACAGAAGCTAAGGTGGGATATAATAGTGTTTTGAGTCCTTTTCTTTGGCCCAGCACACATCAATAGGGCAGGAAGTTTGAAGGAAATGATATAATTCATTATTTTTCATTGACAACTTTCTATATGCATGTGTGGAAATGTCCTATTGAAACCCTTTATGGTGTACAACTAATATACATCAATAAAAAATGAAAAAAGACAGGAGAAAAAAAGAAAACTTTTTGTGTTCACAGGAAGAAGATTCTAATAGTTTTCTTTCAGTGAATTATAAATACTCTCTCATTGTTTATAAATTTAGACACAACTCAGACAAGTCTACTCTGGAAATCTAGTTTGAGCTAACTATTTCAGATCAGAAGTATAAAACAAACCATATATATACATATAAACCATATATGTATGTGTGTGTGTGTGTGTGTGTGTGTGTGTGTGTGTGTGTGTGTGTGTGTGTGTGTATTGCCGGTCCTGGGGCTTGAACTCAGGGCCTGGGCTCTGTCCCTGAGCCTCTCTGGGTTCAAGGCTAGCTCTCTACCACTTGAGCCACCGCTCCATTTCCGGTCCATTCTGTTTATGCCGTACTGAGGAATCAAACCCAGGACTTCATTCATGCTAGGCAAGCACCCTACAACTAAGTCACATTCCCAGCCCAAACCATATCTTTAAAATAATAATAATAACAACAAAAACATTATACACAGATTACAAAAATTCATTGCAAATATTGTAAATAACAGGACCTCCAAGTTAGAGACTAACTTTTCAGCCAGTGACTGGCCCAGATGACCTCAAACTTTTAATCCTTCTGCCTCAGCCTCCCAAAGATTACAGGTGTGTCTCACCTCACCCACTACAGAGCCAGAGAATATTTACAGGGTCAACATTCCAATAGCTTTGTATATGGACTATTTCAGTCCCATCCCCCACTGCTCAATTGAAAATGGGATAGCTAATAGTGAGAATTGCTTGAACATCAGTCTTCGTATTGAAGAATCTCTCCAAGGAAGCTCGCCACTTGTCTGAAGGTATTCTTTCATAGTAGCTCCAAAAATAGTTGCTATAAAGTGATGTATGGACAGAGGTATAAAGAATCAGATGCTTACAAGGCATATAAAGCTTTTAAAATCACTGCAGGGAGATGCATTGGGCAAATCCTGAACATAGCAATGCCCATAAGAGAAGTTCATTCAATTTGAAAAGAACTAGACTTAAATTCTTTAGATTCTTTATAATTGAGGGGAAAAAAACCCAACAGGTGAACTATTTACACTTAAATGAAGGACTGATATTACTCAAAAGAATATAGTATATTGTGAATTTTGACTATAACCTGAATTGCTAATATTATGAGATTTATTTTTGTTATAAATCAATGTTTAGTCAAGACTAAAAATACAGAAAAAAGAATTTTGCCTTATGTAGGTTTTGAATTCTGTAAACCCATAATCACATTTATTGCTGGGGATAAAGTATTATGTGATGTCATTTTAGCTTTTCTAATACTTTGGGTCAACTGAACCCTTTTTACACAAATATGTAAAGTATTTCCATATGTCTTTTACAGCTCTTGAACATGCTTTTGATCAAAACTTTGTATGGTATATTTTATCTAAGCATATATATTTATTTATTTATTTAATGTAAACATATAGCCATTGATATTTTTCCCTCATCTCCACTTCCTGGAATATACTCAATAAAAATCAGATAGTTGTGTTGGGATAAAACCAAGAATTCCTTCATCTTAGCCATTTCTTCTTGACCAGAGCTGAGGCTCTGCCACATGTCTGCCCAGGAAAACAATAACCCACAACTGCCCAGTGTTCTTGGAATGAAATGTACTGTCTGGAGTTTCTAGGGAGAAAGCGCCTCTAGTCATTGGAGACAGACAGACAGACAGACAAAGACAGAGAGAGTCAGAGAGACCGAGAGACAGAGACAGAGACAGAGAGAAAGAGAGAGAGGGGGAGAGAGAGAGAGAGAGAGAGAGCCTGGGCACTGTCCCTTAGCTTTTTTGCTCAAGGTTGTCACTCTACTACTTGAGTCACATTTTCCAATTCCAGCTTTTTAGTGGTTGAGATAAACAACTCACATACTTTGCTGCTGCTGGGGCTGGCTCTGAATCATAATCCTTAGTGCCTCCTGAGTAGCTAGGATTACAGGCATGAGCCACTGTGTCCAGCTAGTCATTGGATTTTGTGCTCACAGGTTGGCAAATGAGGTTGATTTCCTGGTTACCCACATCCCCGCAATGACCCTCTCCGCATCTGCCCTCTAGTTTGTGAGTCACAGCTGTGCCTTCTGAAGATAAGCCAGATAACACACACATTTTGTCCTCCACTGAAACCAAATGGACACACTTTCCCATTGGGCCTGACTCTGTAATGAAAGCGCTAGGAAGTGAGTGTACCATGAAGTCATTCCTTCCGCCTCAGCAGACAGATGGACAGAAACATTCCAGTTTGTTTCCAGCCTTTTGTCTTCAGAGCATTTTTGGCATTTCCTTCAGGAAGCTGGAGGTTATGACCTAAGATTTCCTTAGCGAACACACTTCTGTTTCCCACAGTTAACCTTACTCCAAAATGACATGGACGCTGCGAGGTGAGGTTTATCTTCATGTCCCAACTGCGTCCTGTGCACATTCAATGACTCTTGAAAACACACATTCTAAATGCAACAATAGCTCTGGGGAGGCAAACATACCAAAAGATACTTTTTTTTGTTTTGCCCCCAACGAAGAAGACAATCACACCGAGAGTTAACTATTATAATAATTCTGCGATGTTTGCTTCGCATTCCTTATTTTCATTTTATCTTGGGAGAAATTAAAAACCAAACATGTTAAGGTGATTAAATAAAAAGTTTTTCAATAAAAGATGCTCAGCTAACTCACCTACATTCTGCAATCTTCTTTTCTGTTCAGAACCAATACTGGTGCTTAAACTACGGCCTGAGATGCTGTCCCTTAGCTTTGTTGCTCCATACCTCCACTCTGCCTTCTTTTTTTCTTTTTCTGGTGGGTAGTTGGTGATAAGTGTCTCAGATTTTCCTGTCCAGGCTGACTTGGAACCACAATCCTCAGACCTCAGTCTTCTGGTTAGCTAGGGTTTCAGGTATGAAGCTTTGATGCCTGGCTAACAATTTGCTTCTTGGTTGATATTGTGCATTTCTATTTGTTCAGAAGACAGATTGGTGAACCCAAAACTGCCCTAAGGAAATTGAGAAATTTAATATTTTCTCTATGCTTGTGTTCCTATTCCCTGACATGTCAGTGGACAAACAAGAACATATGTTTTCTTGATGAGTTTGAGCTGATCGTTGTAGATCAGACTTTAAATTAGATATAAGACCACATTATTAAGTCTCTTAAAGCCCTTGGTTTGGGACAGAACATTGTACTTAATTTTGTGTGGCTGGAACGCCATTTAAAACTCAATTATATTTACTTGCCATTGTGGTATTTAGAAGGTTGGTGGTTTTGATCTTACTTTGTTTTACAACTGTTCTTTGTGAGTTTATTGAAGTTTCTCTTCCTGAAAAAGATAAGAGTGGTTTCTAAACAAACCACATTTTTTTTACACTCTGGTTTATCAAGGCAACAGTCCTTAAAGAATAAGAAACATTTGTCCTTAACTTTGATTTCATGGAGCCATATGATCCAAGAGAGTATCTCAAAAAAAAAGCAATTTTTTAAAAACATTCTTTACAAAAGGATCTTTAAAAATTCAGTTTATTAATGTTTAAAAGTTGATAAAGCTATGTGCAAAATAATCCACAAGTCAGAAACCTATTAAATACTATTTTAAAAAACAACAACAAAGACTTTTCTTGGTTTAATTGCACTGAAACCATACTAAAAAGATAGTAATATATTTTTTATTCTTTGTCATATTTATACACATCTTATTTACTACCTAATGAATAGCTGTATTGAAAAACATCTGGTGTTCCCTATCAGTTAAAGTAATGCTTTTAAGGGCCCATGATGATGGTATTTTCTTAAGAAATACACATTCAATGGTGTTAACGCTGGTTAGGAAGAAATCGGATTTAAAACACACACACACACAAAAAAAAAAAAAAAAATACGACCTCTGCAGAAACAAATACATTCAAACATCATAAAAAAGTACTTTTAACACAACAAAATACAGCCATCTTGTCGGTTGAAATGAATCTCGCAATGCTTTGAAATAAACATACACACACACACACACATACACACACACACACACACACACACACACACACACACAAAAGTGCCAAAGACAGATGTCCTATTTGTTAGAAATTAAGAATTCTCTCTTGGTGTACAAAAGTTAATCTCATTTTTCAAATTTGTTCTGTTTTTTTGTTTTGTTTTGTTTTTGTCCCCCCCCCCCCCCCTTTCCCTCCCAGGGTACTAAAGAATCTGCCCAATAGCATTGAGATAAAGGCTTCCTTATTCTGATTACAGTCAAGACAGAGATGACAGCCTAACGCATTTCACTGGGGGGGGAAAAAAGTTTGTGTGTGTGTGGGTGGGTGTGTGAACTCCCAAGTGACTTCAACCAAAGTCCAAACTACTATGGGGAAACTTTGGCCTCAGCGAATGCAATTACTTTACCTCTCCAAATGTTTTCCATCTCCTTTCTGCCTAACTTAACCGGACACAGCCTACGGTGCTGACCAAGGAGGAGGAAAGTGGGCTTTGCCACATCACCCACCTCCCAGTGAGCTGCCAGGCAGGTTCCCTAGAAGAGAACAGACCCTCCAGAGGGAAGGGTGTGGCCGGGCCAGGCGCGCAGAGCGTCGGGAAGACACGGAGCGCACATCCCTTCCCACTCACTTGGAATTAGAGGGAAAGGAAACATCTCCTCAAAGCTCCAGAGGCACCTGCCGCAGGGACCTTGGTCTTTGAGAAGGGGCTGGAGAAACCCTAGAGGAGCCAGACAATGCTAGACCTTTGGCTCAGTACAAAATCAAAGCTCCAGGATGGGGTGTGAGGGTGTGGGGGGGGGGGGGGGAACAGGCTCCAGACATAGGCCTGATCTCCACCCTTCCCAGGGCATTGTTCACTCAACCAGCCCACACCCACATGTCCAAGCTGTGCCTCCCCCCCTTTTCTCTCTCTCTCTGTCTCTCTCTGTTTCTCTCTGTGTGTCTGTCTGTCTGTCTCTCTCTCTGGCCTGCAGCAGGCTTCTTCCTCACAGCCCTCTGAGGCTCAAATGCATTTTCCCCCCCAAATGCCTGATCCAAGGAAGAGCACTTTCCAGGATGGAGAATGGGATCTCGGCAAGTTCCCAGGTCTAGGAGGAAGAGTTGACATTCCCAGAAGACATGATGGTCTCCGGGTTGTCCCCGTCGTCCTTCTGGGGGTGGGAGGAGTTGTCGGATTTGCTGCGGCTGAACTCCATGCCCGCGATGATGGGCCGCTTGAACTTGCCCGCCGCCTCCCCGCTGGGACACTTGCAGCAGGACATGATGCGGATGAAGGCGCGGCGCATCTCCTTGTTGGTCAGGGTGTAGATGATGGGGTTGGTCCCCGAGTTCAGCACCGCCAACACCAAGAAGTACTCGGCTTTGAAGAGGATGTCGCAGGTCTTCACCTTGCAGCCCACGTCCAGCAGGAGCAGGATAAAGAGGGGCGCCCAGCAGGCGATGAAGACGCTCAGGACGATGATCACCGTCTTCAACAAGGCCAGGGACTTCTCGGAGCTGCGGCTGGCCTTGGAAATGTTCTTGCGGAAGGTGAGGCGGCGGCTGCGAGTCCTGACCAACGAGTAGATCCGGCAGTAGAGGATGACGATGGAGAGCAGGAGCAGGGTGAAGACGGTAGTGCAGAAGAGGATATAGTGCTTGTGGTACAGAGGCAGCACGGTGGAACAGCTGGGAAGCGCACCGATACAGTTCCAGCCCATGATGGGCAAGCCCCCCAGGATGAGGGAGATGACCCAGCAGCCGCTGATCAGCAGGAAGGAACGGGAGCTGTTGCTGCCGTTGTGGAGTTTCATCTTCAGCATGGTGATGTAGCGTTCGATGGCGATGGCTAAGAGGCTGAACACCGATGCCGACAGGGCCACAAACATGCTCCCTTCCCGCAGAAACCACTGGGCCGGGGTCAGTTTGTACGTGGTGGCCCCGGACAAGAGCAGGTTGGCTGTGTAAGCCACCCCGGCCAATAGGTCCGACAGGGCCAGGTTGCCAATGAAATAGTACATGGGCCGGTGGAACTTCTTGGTCTTCCAGATGGTCAGCAAGACAAAGATGTTCTCCAGGATGATAAGGCAGCAAATGAGGATGAACACCACCGAAGTCAGCTTAATGCCGTTGTCCTTGTCTGCGCTGATATTCAGCTTTCCCGTGTAGTTGTAATGCCAGACAATGATGTCGTAGTTGACGTAGTCAGACACCGAGCTGTGGAGGGCCTTGACCAGTGGGGTGTTGGTGGACCCCATAGTGCTACACTGGATCTTTCCTCCACCACCACCACCACCACCACCACCAACACAGGAGTCCCGGGACGACAGTTCCCCCAGATGACCGCTAGAGGGTGAGGTCCACAGGGCCTGCCTTCACTCACAGGGCAAAAGGGGTATTCGGTGAGATGAGATTCAAGCTTTCTTGTGTGTAGATTTTCCTTGGCTGGAGAGAGAGGGAGAGCCAGCCCGGGGAACCACAGCCTGAAACAAGTGACAAAGAAAACAAGAGTCAGGGAGGGAAAGAAAAAGCCACCGCACATTAGCATAATTCATTCCAGCAGAGACATGGCTCCAATTCTGTTGTTGGTTTTGTTCTAAGGAAACTTGGGGAGAGCGCAAGAAGTTTTTTTGTTCGGTTGGTTGGTTTCAAATCCAATGATCATTTCTAGCAAAACAAAATGGAAAGTGGGAGAAACATACACACACACACACCTTCATCACACTGAAAACTCCATCTAAGGGAAACATGCCTGTATGATGACATTCAGAGAAATGGAAATTGGAAAACCTAGCAAAAGTGGCCCATTCTGTCACACAGACACACAGACACACACACACAGACACACACACACACACACCCTCTCTCCCCTTTGCCCTCTCCCTATCCTGGCCCCCAAATTCCAGCCCACGGATCTCTCTCAAGTGCCCACACACACACTCCGCTGAACTCACCACCAGCAAGATCGCACCTAACTGCCAAGCCCAACTGCCAAATCTGAGGACGGAGAAGCACACCTCTGCACCCCTACCCCCCACTTCTCTCCAGCTCAAAGAGGCTGAGCACCACCTCCTAATTGCCATGCAAGAAAGTAAGTTTGCTCGAAAATCATTTGACAGTGTAAGCCATTTTTCTGCTCTCTATTAATAACTCTAGAAGCAGGTGTGCGGAGGGTCGCAGGGCGCAGCGACGTGTGGGCTGCCTGCCCCAGACCTTGTGGTAAACAGGAAAGCTAGGCGCCCCCGTGAAGCAACTGCCTATTCTGCCTATTCTTTCTTCTTCCTCCTCTCTCTCTCTCTCTCCAACCCCAGCACAAGTAAAATGTAAAGGTATTCAGGGAAGAACATTCGTAGGAGATGGCTGCAAATCCCAGAAAAGTTTCATAGATTAAGTACAGAAGTTGTTGTAACACACACACACACACACACACACACACACACACACGCTAGACAATACATGCCCCCACTTTTCTAACCGCGAGTGCCAAAGTACTCTGCAGGGCTGGCACGCACGTGTGTGTTGCGTGCATCGCTGCACACGCGTGGACGGTTCCCCACCTCCCTATCACTTTGCCTCTTTGTGGCAGAAGTCAAGCGTGGGAAAGACGCCGCACGACTGTCCTGTGAGCAGAAGCCTGCTGGCAACTTGTTTAAATGCTCCCAGGTAATGCCTTGGAAAAGCATTAGAAAGTAGAGGCCGGAGGAGCAATCCCCGTCATTTCCCGGAGAGCAAAGGCTTCTCCCCTTCCCCCAATCCCCCCAAACTCTCCACGTTACCCCATCTTAATTCTACACCCCCCCACACTTTCCAGAAGCGCAAGTTTTAAAGTCAGTACATGTCTCCGATCATCTTTGTCTACAGAATTTCCCCAAAATAACGACCTTCCCTTTTTCTCTTCTAACCTCGTCCCGTGCCCCCCCCCGCACCGCACCCGCACGGGGTTCTGCACTGGGGGCGAGGGCGCTGACCCCGCACCCACCCCACGCACCCCCAGAGCCATCCCCCCGCGGGGGACAGGCTCCGCGGAAGCTGGCGGAGGAAATCTCCTCGGTGTCCACGGATGGCTGTTGGCGAAGTTCTTGATGGTTTCCTTCTGGTTTAGAAACTCGACGCGATTCCCTTCACCCCGCAAGACTGGGGGTTCCCTGGGAGCGACCCCCTCCTTCCTGCCCACTCCAGCCCCCCACGATCGTGACAGCCCCTACCTCGCTCAAGCAGGGCGAAGCTGCGTCCGGGGAGCTCGGGATCGCCGGGGCGCGCTCGGCATCTTGCTGCCGCCGGGGGACAGGGCCGTGGGGCACTGAGTTCCCGGCGCCGGGTCCCCTCCCTCCGCAGCCGCGCGCGCCGCGCCGCCCCGCACCGCCAGCCCCGAGCGCCGCCGCTGCGCGCCCGGCCGCCCCGCACCGCTCTGCGCCGCCGAGGCCCCGCGCGTCCCGCCGGGGTGGGGAAGGGACGGGGAGGGGTTAAAGCCTTTAACTCTTCCCGCCCCGGCCTGCGACGCCCGCCCCTCCCCCCGAGCTGGACGCCGCACGAGCGAGCAAGAGAGAGAGAGAGAGAGAGATCCCCTTCTCAACCAAAGAGACAGACAGACACACACACACACACACACACACACACACACACACACAGATCCCCCTCCTTCTCAACCAGACACACACACACACACACACACACACACAGAGATCCCCCTCCTTCTCAACCAACGAGAGACCAACAGAGAGACATCCCCTTCTCAACCAGGCAGACAGACAGACAGACACACACACACACACACACACACACACACACACACACACAGATCCCCCTCCTTCTCAACCAACGAGAGAGACCAACAGAGAGAGATCCCCTTCTCAACCAGAGACAGACAGACACACACACACACACACAGATTCCCCCTCCTTCTCAACCAACGAGAGAGACCGACAGAGATTCCCTTCTCAACCAAAGAGACAGACAGACAGACAGACAGACAGACACACACACACACACACACACACACACACACACAAACACACACACAGCTCCCCTCCTTCTCAACCAACGAGAGACATCGACAGAGAGAGGGGGGGCGGAGTCCCATGTCCTCTACATTCGAATCTATAAATCAAGTCCCTTGCCAGCTCTCCTGGTCCCCTGGCGATGGAGACCATTCTCCCGAACCCTGGAAACCGAAGGCGGTTGGGGACCCATTGGAAACTTTTCTCCCTAAAACTCTCAGGGGGCAGGGGACCAAATCACATGTCCTAGGAGACCCCTTGGTTCCCCTCTCCCCTTAACCCACGGTCCTGGGGCGGCCGCGTGTCCCCGCCGTGATTGTGGCTGCGGCCCCCCCCCCCATCCCGCGGGAAGAGAGGCTGTGTGGCCAGCGCACGACGCCTGGCTCCAAAGGGAGATTGGACTGGACGGATCCTGTCCTGTCCTGTCTCTCATTCATCTACTGGTCCCCTGCCCAACAACACCCCCTCCCCCCAAAAGAAAAAAACAACTCTGAAACTTGCAGTGAAAAGGGCAGAAAGTGGCTTTCCTTGGGGTTGGCTCGGGGCTTCTTGGGGGGGGGGATGGGGATCCCATAACTGAACGCAAATTTAGAGTGTGTGTCTCCCATGGTGGCCAGCGTGAGAGGGTGGGGGGGACAGGTCTGTGAGGAGGCGGGACACTGACCAGTCCCTGACAGATTTAAAGGCTTGGGTAGCTCACCAATTTCCAAAAGGAAAGAGACGCTAGGCCCAGCCCCTGCAGCTGCCCAGCTAAGGGTCAGACCCCCCCCCCCCCCGCCCCCCTTCTCTGTCCACCAGGGAGATAAAGACCTCTCCCCTACACCCCTAATCCTGAATCTCAATATTGACATTTCATCCACCCTTCTATTTCACCTAGATACGACTTGGTTTGAGAGGCTAGGGGGGGGGGGGGAAGTTTGGGTCAGATTTGCCTGAGTGGCAAACTCAGGGCATGGGTGCCCTGCCCCCACTGTTCTAAATAAATATATAAATAGGGTGTGCACCTAGTCCTGGTGGCTGCAGTCTTCCCACCCAGCCACAAGTGAACTCGACTGACTTCCTCCGAGAGTGCAGTTAGAATCGCCAGACACGCCCTGTACCTGAATGACTCACGGGAGCCCGAATAAACAACCGACCCTTGCTGGGACTGCACCCCAGTCACAGCCACACGTTCAAGGGTGTGCGTGCAATACGGAAAGCAAGATTAACGGTCCGCCAGGCTTCCGGAGTCGACTGCTGGGCTTAGAGGACTGCACTGCCGCTGCTTTTGAAAGCAAAGCGAGGAGATGCTGCTGTGTGGATCAACAAGCACCATAAGAAAAGGGAGACACCGGCCGCCACTGTCACCAGCTACTAATATAGGGCTTCTCTAAAGGGATCGGGGTAACAGGGAGCTGTGTACCTGGGCTGAATGGAGCGAGTGATACACTAATTCCATTCTACAGCTCCGAGAAGCAAACTAGTATTGGTAACCGTTTTATTCAGGACAGAAAGGCTCCTCACAAGGGCATGTGTCCTGTAATTTTCCCAGCGAATGAAGGACTGAGCTGGGTTCTGAAACTTAAGTGTTTCGGGTGTCTTACATCCTAACTCAAACACCATCCATCCGTCAGTCAATAAGGATTCAAGAATTGAAATGGACTGGAAGCTGGTGGCTAATGCCTAGAAGCCTACCTACTCAAGAGGCTGAGATCTGAGGATCTCAGTTCAAAGCCAGCCAGGGCAGGAATGTCCATGAGACTCTTCTCTCCAGTGAACCACCTGAGAACCAGAAGTGGAGCTGTGGCCCCAAGTGGTAGAGCACTAGCCTTGAGCAAATAAATAAATAAATAAATAAACGCTCAAGGACAGCGCCCAGGTCCTGAGTTCAAGCCCCATGATTAATGACAAGAATTGAAATGGTCCTTGCTACTCAGGAGACTTGAAAGGCAAATTCAAGAGACTCTTTTAGTTCCAAATAACCAGCAAAACTTAAAAGTAGAGGTGTAACCGGGCACCAGTGGCTCATGCCTGTAATCCTAGTTACTCAGGAGACTGCGATCTGAGGATCATGGTTTGAGGTCAGCCCAGGCAGGAAAGTCTGCAATTCTCATCTCCACGAAACTACTCCCAAATTTGGAAAGTAGAGCTGTGGCTCAAGGAGTAGAGTGCTAGCCTTGAGCAAAAAGAAGCTCAGGGACAGCACCCAGTCTCTGAGTTCAGCCCCAGGATGAGCACAAAAGAAAAGAAAAGAACAAAAAAAATAAATAAATAAAAGCAGAGGTGTGGCCTCCAGTGTTACAGTATAGCACAGAGTGGAAGCCCATAGAAAGAACAAAGCCCAACAAGAACTCCAGCATTTGGGACATTAATTGGTGATAAGAGAATCTCAAGGACTTTTCTGCCTGGGTTAGCTAAATTCAGTCTTCAGATCTCAGCCTCTTGAGGAGCTAGGATTACAGGTAAGCAGCATCAACACTGGGCTTAGCTATTTATTTTTAAGCCATGCATCCTAGGCTAGCTTCAATTTGAGATCTTCCAGCCCTCGCCTCCTCAATGCTGGGATTACAGGCCTGTACAGCCATACCCAGACATACCTATATATTTTAATGCATGTTATTTAAAACCTCTCCTTGCCGGTCTTACTTATTTAATGTACAGTTTTGCTCTATGTAATCGTGTACCAGGTCCTAAGTGTTATACACATCAATCCATTTAGTCCTTACAGTTTTATCCCTACAAGTTAAGTACAATTATTTTCCAATTTTTACAAACAAGGAAACAAAGTCTTAGATCTATTCATCAAGTTGAGAACTGTCGGATATGACCACAGATGATGATTATTCCTCCTCCTCCTCCTCCTCTTCCTCCTTCTCCTCCTCTTCCTGCTCTTCCTCCTCCTCCTCCTCCTTGAACTCAGGGCCTGGGCACTGTCTCTGAGCTTCTTTTGCTAGCACTCTACCACTTGAGCCACAGCACCACTTCTGGCTTTTTCTGTCTGTGTGGTACTGAGGAATCGAACCCAGGGTTTCATGCATGCAACCACTAAGCCACATTTTGCCCAGCCCCTATGATCACAGACTCTTAACCACTATTCCAAACCACCAAGATAAACCTCAGACATATCTAAGAATTACACAGGGAAAGTCAGTCCCTTCTATTGTGAATACCATTGCTGCAGACAACATTGAATATTGGATCTGATGTTCTGAAGAACTACTTTGCCGGTGATTATTCAATACTATCCATCTCAGTGCCACCTATGAGACATAAATGTAAGAGGACGATTCAGGCAGAATTAGAAAGTAGGGATTCACAGATGTTTTCCTTGGTAATTCTAGGTCTCTAGTCCATGGACTCCTGCCTTTCCACCCTTCCACCTCCACCCCCTCAAACACTATCTTCCAATTGCTTTCAAGAGAACAACAAGCATTGCATTCTCAATCTATCTCTTGGCTTCTAGCCCAACTCTCTTTTCTGCTACTGCCTAGAAATCAAGCCTAATAGGCCACTCATATTTCTCATCACACTGAGGTTACATCATATACTGCCCAGATCTCACGAACCTTGCCTGCCCCCTCCAAACTGCTTCATTTCTATCTTCCTTCTTTCTTTTTTTCTTTCCTTCCCTCCTTTTTTCCCTCCTTCCTTCCTTCCTTCCTTCCTTCCTTTTTTCCTTTCTTCCTTCCTTCCTTCCTTCCTCCCTTCCTTCCTTTCTTTCTTTTTCTGCTAGTACTAGGGCTTTAACTCAGAGCCAGAGTATTCTCCCTTACCTTTTCCCATGAGTCTGCCACTTTACCTCTGGAGTCACAGCACCACTTCCAAAATTTTTGCTGGCTAATTGGACATAAGAGTGTCACAGACTTGTTTTGCCTGGGCTGGCAATCCTTAGCTCTCAGCCTCCTGAGTAGCTCGGATTACAGGCATGAGCCACCAGTGCCTAGCCATGTTCTTTATTGATTTTTTTAAGCATTTCTTCTTAAGGACTGCTAAGTAAAATATTGTGTAACCTTTGAGGTATATACTATGAGTAAATAATTAATCAATATATATTTGTTAATGTGTGATTCAAGTGTCACTGGGTAAGCTTTATTCTTATTTGCTCAATCTAGCAACTCCACTTCGTTTCCTAATGACCTTCAGTCACTTTCCAACTATCCTCTCCTCCTCCAGACCTTCATTCCCAGTAAAGACCCAACCTTTCTCTTATTTATTCATAGGAAAATAATGAGCCTCCTCCTGCAGAGGAAATAGTACATCTTGTTGATGTCCCCGTGAAGATCAAAAGATACACAGCGGCTCATGGCTGAAATCCTAGCTACTCAGGAGGCTGAGATCTGAGAAGCACACTTCTCAGAATATAACTAGTAACTCGGTGTATATAAT